ACGTTGCTATATTTTATTATTACTTACATATACTGTGGCCAACTATGTATATAAAAATATAATATTATATCTCACATTACGGTTCTCATGTGGGAAACGTAATTCAAAGTATTTGGCTAAATATATTTAAATGCATTTGACAGACATGTTCGAGGTAATAAATAAAAATATAATATAAATATACTTCACCACCTGACAACCGATGGTTATATCTATATTGGACATATATGTTAGATACCACTGACCATATGTGAAACAAAATCCCGCGTGTTTATCCCGGGGGTTAACAGTGCCTGTTACCAAACCCAAACAATTCCCCTTCCCCGAGGGACACTATTTTTTACAAAAGACAACGAATCCCCTCCTGTTCCTGGGGGTTCCCCCTGGGGTGTCCCAGGGGTCGACCCCCGGGGAAGCCGATGATAAGTGCATAAGGTTCGAGTGGAAATGCATGCCCAACCCCCGGGATGTGCTTTACAGGAAAATGGCTGGGCGAGGGGGATGGGCACACTTGGATTTGGCTGATGCATTAAAAGTCATGGAAAAAGAAACTTTTCATATTGCTACTATAAAATGGGTTATTGTGCTTATTCCTGTGCTTATTCCAGACTGCTTGTCAAATATTTTAATACTTGCAAGAAGTAGAAATTTACTCTGACCACTGGATGAAGAAGACATTAAATAAGTACTGGTCAATAAACAGAATTGTATTTTATTTCATACTATTACAATTTTATTTTTATACTATAAAAATAAAATATAAACATGCAGCCTCTGACATGCAGCATAGAATATGCAAATTCGAGGCAAAATTATTGTTGAATCTGTTTATTTATAGGATTTTATAACAAATAGCAACTATAAAAGTTTATACCTTGTCTTCACATCGCTTTATTCTGTTAGCCAATGCTTTTAAATTTACATATTTTAGAATCAGTTCCTTTCCTGGTAACTCCATTTCTAAATGAAATCATCATGAGTAGTGAGTGCTGAGCAGGCCGTTTTACTATAAACAAATTTTAGGAATTGATAACAACTTTCATGAAAAACATATCGTTGCACATTCGGTCACAGTCGGAAAAATGTTCATAGTATGTTGTACCATCACTTGCAACTAACGATGAACAGTCGCTCATAAAAACATTTGTGTGATTAGAATCTCCAATGTTTGTCAAGAACAACAACACTTAATTGTTGTTTCCCATGTGTACAATAATAAGTAAAAAAAACTTTGTAACCGACGGTATTTGGCAGCAAAAAATTGCCTGCGGCTGTTATCACTGATATAAATAAAATACAGTCTGGTTATACTGACTTGAGTGTGTCATGACAAACTCTTTATTGGAAAATTGTGAAGAAACAGTCGAATATAGAGGGTCGAATATCATACTTCAACTTGTATAGCTACAGTAACATTGGTACATAGCGTTGTGAAGACAAGCCTTTTCTTACCTTTCGCTTCAGCAGTTTATTGCATGCTTCTCTACGCTTTCCCAGGCGAGGTTCTCTTTCCTCGGCAGTCTCCTTGAGCAAACGTTGTCGTCTTCGCTCCCTTCTTTTCGCTAGACGCTCGGCTTTCTTGTCGCTTCCTTGCCGCTCTTCATGGCTCCATATCTTTTCAATTGGTATTTGATACCATAATTGTTTGATAAAAGTTTTAATAAAAGTAATTGCTTTTAAAGCTGCCAAATGTTTTTTGCAAATGTACAAAAAACTGTAGCGCAAAAAGCAAAATATTTTCATGAAGTATCTGTCAGTTAAAGTCGTCATTCGTCATACAACAACAAATTTTAAATTTGACCAGTCGGTGTTCGCTATTCATGACAGTCTGCCATATTTTTGAGATTAGTGAGGATGACCATCCATGCACAGTGACCCACACCCGCGATATTTGATGAACTTCAGACTTCCCTAATGCTTTCGTTTCCCCGGGTGTAAATAGCCGGGGGGAATTAGTACCCTCGCACGGTGCTTTGCGCTGCCGGCTCGGCGGTAAAGTATATTTATTTCCGTAGCCACGTTGAAATACGTCTACCCTGCTGGCAGTGGTTTCAGAGCTGAGGAGAAACCACTGTGAGCAAACAAACGACTTTCTATTGAGCATGCACGAAGATCACAGGGTGGCACAACACTTAATTTGACTTAATTTGCTGTAGTTTAACAGTTTGTTATCTGTATGCAAACAAGTGTGGCATAGTACTGTTTTCTTTGTTGTCTGTCTGACTTTTTATTCTACATGCAGTTCACAATTTACTTCTAAAAGATTTTGAAATCGGTGCCTCACCCTACACCTACCAATTGTGCATCTGAATTTCTGTTTAATCTGTTATATCTTTTTAAATTTTTGTATTTATATGATCAATTTTTTTAATTTGGTCTGCAAACTTTATTTGTGTTACTTAAACGTTGGAAATTGTGTTAAGGTTTTCGATAAATTCCAATTTCCAAAGTTTCCAAATAATATAATAATTATGTTTCCAATTGCTGTTGATTTTGACAATTATTGCAATTTTTGATTGTCGCGAGCTCAACCACTACAAATTTCGACTGATGAAAGATAGTCATGACAGCGCTACTATTTCTGTGAAAGGTGTGGATTTTTGTTTTAGTGTGTGAATTTATTGTTACTCTGTTGAACTGTAGGCGGTTTTCAAGTCATCTCAATGTATAATTTCAAACATTTTATTCAATATTTTGTAAAGTTATAGTATTTTGTAAAAAGTAGTATATTTATAGCGTGTTACTTTATTTAGAGGGTGATTGTGTTGTTTTAGTACAACTGGCTCGCATTTTACCAGCAGTGCCAAGCAGTTACCCATGTGCACAAGAACAAAAACTTGTCAAACTTGTTTTACTTGTTTCTCATTTAATGTATTCGGCCATGAATCTGGATGGTGACCACAATGAAATGATCGTTTGTTTGCTTGCTCACAGTGGTTTCTCCTCAGCTCAGCTAGAAACCATTGCTAGCAGGGTAGAATACGTCTATTTTGGTTCAAATCTAATGAAATGATGCATCGAATACACTGAACCTTGTTTAGTGGTGATCAAATTTAAACATAAGATTCACAGTGTTTGTGTGCAGAAAATATTTTCTTTGCCTTTGTGGTCCCAGAAAATAAAATATTTTATGCCGCCCTGCTGATACCTTAATGTACCTTAGCATACCTTAATGTACCTTAGCCTACCTTAGGGTACCTTAGACTACCTTACCCTATCTTAGGGTACCTTAGCCTACCTTAGCCTGCCTTAGGGTACCTTAGACTACCTTAGGGTACCTTAGACTACCTTAATAATAATATTTATTATTTATACAGGAATGCCTATTCAGTGAAAAATTCAACTAGGGTCCTGTTGTTAGGTTAAAAATTGTTCTAAAAAAAGTTACAGTATATACATATATATAAACTATGCTATCCTAATAAGGGTATATACAGAATATAAAAATCTGTTAAAAACGTACATGCATGATTCAAATATTTAAGAAATATTTTAAAAAGCTTGCAGTCTCGCGTTAAAATCGTTCAAAGTCTCTGCTTTTCGTATGTCTAGAGGCAGTTCATTATATGTTTTTCCACCAAGGAAATAAAAGCCATTTTTGGCAGATTCGAGTCGAACTTTAGGCAGTCTGATTGACATTTTATTGTTGCGGGGTTCCGTGTTCACCATCAATGATTGTTCACCATCAATGATGCTACAAAGTTTCTTCTTTTGAAGATCTCGATTTCGAGGGATCTTTATCGTGAGATTCGAAGGATCTTCGTTTCGAAAAATAATCAGCCGGGCTTTGCATTAAACGTTTTCAAGTTGTTGCTGTCTTGTCGTCGTTGACCAAGGGTTAACTAATGAACAATACATTGTAACAGGGAGTATCATAGCATTGTACACTGTTGCAGCAGCTCTCATTGTCATCGATTTTCGTATTTTCAATAGCAGTTTAAGTTTTCCATGTGACCTTTTATAAATCTTGTTGAAGTGTTCTGCCAAGCTTAAAGTTTGATCAAGGAGAACACTGAGGCAAGTATATGAAGTTGTGTAATTCACCAACGTATTGTTGTACATTATGTTCAACTCATGTTTTTTAATCTTGGACAAGTTTCTCCCAGTGCCGAACAGCATACATTCAGTTTTGCCTTTTTTCAGGTTCACAATCAGTTCATTCTTCTCAAACCACTCCGATAATAAATGTGACATGTCTTCAGTTAGCTTTT